ATGAGGACGACGCGACGACAATGATGTGAGAATACTTTTGTATGTTGCCAAGAATTTTGTTTTCTTTTTGCTAGCTGCTGCAGCAACAACATTTAAGGATTTAACAGGATTGTAAAACAGTTCAGTATAATTTTGCCATCGCCGTGATTTGTACGCAATTCGAAACGAATCAAGGGAACTAACAAAGAAATTATTGTGTTGTAACGCATTTTCCGATTTTTGTTTTTGGAAAAAAAAATGAAAAAAATATATAAAATAAAACTCATTTGAAAAAAATGATTCGTTTTTCGTGATGCGTTCGTTAGAATGCGTGTTTGAGTGTATGTTGGGCTTAATAAAAAGAGTTAAATAGAAAGGACCTTCATATTGAGTTCATTTTATATTTTCACAATCAGTTGTTATTAAACTTTTGAACCATCATGTCTGAAATAGCCAAATAATACGGAATCTTTAATTAAGCCTTGAAAATGCGTTATACGGAAAATGTCTGACTCGATGTGCTGCTAGTGGGCCAGTAGTGTTTCATGTGTTAGTAGTTAAAATAAAGGAATTTCATATTTTAACAGTTGATGTCATTTATTTGATTTTATTTGTTTTTTTTTTTCGTTTTGTTTCTCATATTCGTGTGCGTTTTAAATGTTATCGTGTGCGAATTAAACGTCATTTGAAACGGATATGTTGCCGGAAATGTTGACATCACTCATGTGTTGGTATCATCGCCTTCCTTAAAACGCGTTTTTCTAATGTTTGTGTAATATTTGCCAAATAGTTTAGGCGTGTGTGTGTGAGTTGGCAATTTTAGTGAAACCATAAAAAGGACTCTTGTAGTCTTAGTATGAGTTTGAAATAAAAATGATGTCATGTTACACATCAACAAAAAAAATTAGAAAGAAGAGAAATTAAATTTTAAATGAAATTACATTTTAAACAGAAGAATGAATATAATAAAAGAAATATGTGATATAAAATAAATGAATAAAGTGATTTGACGAAAATTTTTTAAAAATCATAAGAATTAATATAAAAATTGCTAAAATTTTATTCAAATTTAAAATGTATAGATACTTATGAAAGTTGCAACTTTTAAAGTTACTTCGCCTTTTTTTTACCTCAAAATAAACTTCTTTTTAACAAATATATAACCAAAATGGAACTATTTTAAAACTTAAACAAAAATATGCTTTAATTTTGCACTATATTTAGCTCGTAATCAAAAATTTAGCTGAAATTATATCCAGGACCTAAAAAACAAAATCTGAAGTTCCATCAAAATATATTACAAAAATTAGTATTTAACAAAAACAAGAGGGGGCCAAAAGAAGTCTTTAAGACCTCTACAAATCATAGATTTGTAATAGTAAATCTATAGCCCGACAAGACGGACTGTGTTTTGGTTGAAATCAGTACACAGTTTTATCTAAATAGGTTTATTGTCGTGATACAATTCAAGTCGAGTAAACCAACTTTTGAAACCGATATCTTTCATCAAGATCGGTCAAGAACTCTCTCAGTTACAGTGAGCCAAAATTTGACTCTTTTGTCAAACCGGTACTCTATTAATATTTACCCATAATGGTCCCTGTTTTTGCTTCTTTAAAAGCCTTTTGATCGCTTTGTGGGATGCGAGTGGGAAATTATACTATAAAGTATGGCCAAGTCCGAACCTTTGAACATATGCGCTATACAAGAACGTACAAGAACATTCCACAGTAGTTTGGTTGGTTGGTTAACGTGGTAGTTCACGGTGCGCGAACAGTCAAGTAGAGTCGAAGAGACTCCGTTTTGGCCGGACCACTCCACTCGTCAGATGTAGTATTGCGTAGTATTAGGTCCAGCCTATAGCAGTGAGAAATCTCAGGATATCATTAAGCTTAGATCCAGATATCTCATCAAGGTTAGATAAGATCTTTTTAGGTATATAGCAGGGTATTTGCCGAGAAGATGGAAGGTCGTTTCTTCCTTTTACCTGTCTTTGCAACTGACACAATGTTCATTGAAGGGTAGCCCAGTGTCCTTATATTACTGCTATCAATCTCGATATATCCCATCTAATTCGATTTATAATGTGTCTTGTGCGTTTCTCATTGAAGGAGGGTCACAATATCTTGGCCCCTTTACATGTCTCTAGGTTATTCCAGCTATTTTCAGCCCTTTGAAGATAGATTCTGAGGATACTATATTTGATAAAACCTAATGGGGTTGGTACTGGAACGGCGTTAGAGATATCACAGTAGTTTAGAACAGATTGTTTTTCGGTAATTTTCGATCTATTGAATTGATATAGCAGCCCTTTGTCCTATGCAATTTTGGTCAATTTTAAAATTGTGCGAAACAAGATATTTTCACCTGGATCTCTGGGTTAAAAATTTGCCGCTCTACCTATAGTTGCATAGGTTTTATTGATTTATACTGAATCGATACTAATATGAATATGAGAATGATTTTCGGATTTTTTGACTGATCTAGCAGATTTAAAACCCATAGACCAAAGTATACTTTTCTAACGGATTGCGAAGAAGATATGAAAGAGATTAAAGTTTTAATGAACTTTCAGACCTTTAGGCCTTTGCTTCAAAAATCTGTTTTATAAATAAACGTGTCTTCGCGCTGTTATATCATCACATATATCGCCAAAACAGGGTTTTCAAAATTACCGATAACTCGAAAATCGGATGTGATTGTGAAGTTCTGAGACCAAGGTATGTTTTTGTCTCTGTTTCAAAAATCTGTTTAATAAATAAACGGGTCTTAGCGCTATTGATTATAATGTCACAGATATTGCCAAAAACGGAGTCTTTCAAACATAAGGATATTTCGAAAACCTGATGCGGTTGAGAAGTTCTGTGACTGGATTATGATTCTCAATACTCTAGACATATACCTTGATATATCTGCACCTTGTAATTATACTACAGTTCGCAGATTTTTTTGAGATAATTCGATAAAAATTGTATACGTATTTCAAAAAGACAACCCGTATTGATTTTTGATTGATATCGGTCCATTATTTTACCTAGACCCCATGCAACCGAACTCCCAGAATAGGCCTTTGTAGCTCATAATTATGTGAAGTATACTAGTAACTGCACAAAAATAGGCTTAACTACGTTTCACATAGTTAATGATCAGACCTCATTTGACCCTAGCCCATATAAAAAGTCTTCCTCAGAAAATGGCTTAAATATCTTTATCCTTAAGCAATTGCTTCACACAAACTCTTATTATAATCTACATTGGTTTGGTAATGATGTTAGTAAGGCGTTAAAATATACCGTCCGTCTCCCTGTCTTTCTGTCCGTCCATGTAAACTTTGTAATCGAATTTTCAAAGTAATTTGATAAAATTTAACACGTATGCTTTATTTGACCCAAGAAAGAATCCTATTGAGAATATTTAAAATTGGTCCATTATTTCACCTCTAAGACCTATTTTATCCTCCGAATCTCGGAAGTAGTCGGCAACGAAACGGTGAATGTAATAGCTTTAAAGGGAAGGGTGCTCGAGGTAGTTAACCTTACGAACGCAAAACCATTCGACGCAATAAAAGCTTAATTAAAAATATGGGTGAGAGAATCCCATAAGGCATCTTGGAATAATGAAACGCTGGGTAGAACCCCAAAGATTCTATGGGGTGACCCTGATTAGAGCAAGACGAGAAATCTAATCAAAATGATCAAGTCTGAGGTTAGTATGATGGTACGTATTCTGATTGGACACACACAGGATTACGAGCACATCAATATAAAATTGGACGTGCGGATTCAGATTAATGTAAAGCATGTGGAGAGGACAGTGAAACTCTGGAGCACTTTCTTTGCCACTGTCAGGCATTCGCCGAAGTTAGATTCAAGTATCTTGGAAGGGATGTTATTTCGGAAATAACATTCCTGACTAACACTGTTTGGAAAATTCATAGGAATTACTTCCAGGAAACTGAGTTTCTGAACATTGAAAAATAAAACATTCAGTGAAAATTCTTTTTTCTCATGAAAAGGAGCGTGTATTTTTTCGGATTTGATGTAGTATACATCCTGCTATCAACCTAACCTATCCTCCGAATCTAATTATGTCTTCAAATTATGACATGATAATGCAGTTGATCGATTGTGCAGTTTTCTAAGTTTTCTGTCTGTCCGCCCATAGAAATTAACTACAAGGCCAATTTTCAAGATAATTTGATAAAATTTGACACGTATGTATACTTTGTTTGACCCACGAATCCCTATTTTTTTCTCCAACGAATCAAATTATAATATGATAAGGCAGTTGTTTGGATAATGCAGTGCAAAGAAGAAGACGTGCAAAGTTTATTTTAAAAACCCTAATTTAGTATTCCTTTCAATCCGATAATTATAATCTATTTAAGTTGAAAAATTTCAGGTTTTTATTAAATTAATCACTAAAACATAAAAAGCCTTGGTTGTATGCCAAACTAAAGCCAATTTATAGATTCAAATAAAGTGAATTTATGAAAATTTTTGTAGCAGCTTAAAATTGCATATTTGTAATATTTTGGTAAAGTAATTGAAATTCATAACTTTTTACTGAACAAACAATTTCATTAAAAGTCAATTATATATTTAGTTTTTTTCCTTTTATTTTTAAAATAATTCTGACGTAGACCAGTTGAACTTTTAAAATAAATGCTGTGCAAGTGAATTTTTTTCTAATTAAAGTTTTAATAAAATACAATTTTATTTATTTTATTTAAAACCAATAAAAACGTTTAGTTTATTATGAAAAAAATAAGTAAGAAGGTATTATGTGTAATGAAAATATTGAAAGAATAAAATCAGTAGAATATTAAAATCAAATAATGATTATATAACAGTAATAAAGTAAAATTAATATAATAAAAAATTTAAAAAAATAATAATATAAATAATAAAACGGTTTAATGTTTAAATTCAAACAAATTGAGACAAATTTGATATAATACAAACAAATTTTAACAAATTATTAAACAAATAAATTAAAAAAAGTGTATTAAATCAAAGCTTAAACAAAAATTGTAATTTTATTAACCTCAGTTTTTATTAAAATATAAACAAAATTAAATCAAATCAACAACATAAAAACATAAAGGAAAAATATAAAAAAATTCTCTCATAAAATAGACAACATAAAAATCAGCAATAACTTTTGAATCCTTTTTACGCATTTCCCGATTTCGTGGTGTCATCTGCAAACGCCATAGACATCATTAACATCGACAACATTAAAAAAATTATCGTCACCATCATCAGAATAAACAAGGAATACCAGCTCTAGTAGCAGCAGCTTCAGCAGCAGGATCTCTTTACCAGCATTTACTATGGATTTATTATCGTTTTTATTGTATTTTCTCTTGACACGACATGGTATGCTATACGAAAAATATTTTTGTTATTACATGTTTTAAAAAAATACTTTTCTTTTTGTTTCGTTTAACTTTTGGTTGGGTACTTTAAGGATATTTTATAGGGGGGTTTTGTCCAAACAAAATTTCCTTTTTTATAGTTTCCATTAATAATTATGGAGGTGTATTAAATTTATCCTATCGTTTATAACACGAAATTATATATGTATGTATTCTAGGGCCTCATCTATATAGCTAAGTATATAGATAGATAGATAGATAGATAGATAGATAGATAGATAGATAGATAGATAGATAGATAGATAGATAGATAGATAGATAGATAGATAGATAGATAGATAGATAGATAGATAGATAGATAGATAGATAGATAGATAGATAGATAGATAGATAGATAGATAGATAGATAGATAGATAGATAGATAGATAGATAGATAGATAGATAGATAGATAGATAGATAGATAGATAGATAGATAGATAGATAGATAGATAGATAGATAGATAGATAGATAGATAGATAGATAGATAGATAGATAGATAGATAGGATAGATAGATAGATAGATAGATAGATAGATAGATAGATAGATAGATAGATAGATAGATAGATAGATAGATAGATAGATAGATAGATAGATAGATAGATAGATAGATAGATAGATAGATAGATAGATAGATAGATAGATAGATAGATAGATAGATAGATAGATAGATAGATAGATAGATAGATAGATAGATAGATAGATAGATAGATAGATAGATAGATAGACATGCTGTACATTCATCTGAATCCGCACGTCCAATATTATATAGTTGTTTCCGTAATCCTAACGTGTCCATACTAACCTCAGACATACACATTTCAAGAAGCTTCTCCACTTCCTCTCGTTAGGGTAACTTCAATTGATATTTGTGGTTCTACCGACAAGCGCCTCGGGACGCTTGTTACCCAAATAATGTAAAGCTTACATTTTGAGAGTATTCGATTAAGACCTTCTTACAATCGAATGCGGTCTTATCTAGAGTTATCCCTAATTGCCTTCTGGCTTCGGTATTTATGTTAACCTCTCTTGGCGCCCTATGGGTATTTGCTCTAATCTTCCGCTTGGCTATAACATTCTATCTGAGATAAGTGTTTCAAAGTTCTCGGCATATTCTGTGTTTGGTATACGATCGGTCACATCCGATGTTTGTATATAGCCTTCCTATGTATTCAGTATACATAACTGCTTTGGTCAGTTCGCCTAAAGTTAAGAGCCATTCGGATGTACTACAAAATTTCATGATGATCGGTGTACTACAATTCCTTGTTGTGGTCGCGGCTACATTACTGTTTAGAATGAATCAAGCCAATTTCGGTTTACTCGCTTAAAGTAAAGGCTATTTCAGTGAGAGTGTTCTGCATCGATCGTATCTAACAGTAATCAGGCATGGTAAGGTCTGGACTATAATGATTAAATTGTGTTCGCTGCTTGTCTCCCGTAATCGACAGACCCAATTTTTAGCAGTTTATGATAGATGTGGCCCATCTGGTTCCAATTTATATAAAACATTATATTGGTGCCGATTACTAATCGCCTTTAACATAGTTTTGACTAATTTGTAGAAATTCCATTATTGTAAGAAAACCTTCAGAAGGAGAAGACGATTGGGCGCATCTTAGATTATATGAGCTAGTTTTTTAAACGATATAAAGAAGAAAAATCGGTAAAATATATACATAATTGTAATGGACCCAATATACAAGACCCTAGACCCCAGATTACTTGCTACAAGAGTTTTTCACGATCTCAAAATGAACGTTAGTCATGGAATTAAAAGCGTAATTCCAAAAATATTTCTCTCTTTTCTAATTTTTAAACAGTTGATCGTATTTTTATAAAGTTTATAGTTTTCCAGAGAAGGTAATGTTGAGTTTAAATCAGCTGTATATGGTCATTTGAATCTATATATTTTGTCTCGACTCAAAATTCGTTAAGTTTAGCCAGGGTAGTCGCAAGCTTTATAATACTTTTCAGATTATGTTTTGGAACGTACGTATGTCGTTTTTTCTCGTATTAGCTCTTTAATCTTAAAAAGGTCAACGTTGAAGGTCATCAAGTAAGTTTGCAAAATTTTAACAAATATTGTGAATATAAAATTCGGCTTAGCCGCATACAATATTCCTTTATATTTGTCGTATTATGTTTCTGTCCTTCCTTGGTCCAGTTTGTTTTGACATTTTATGTTTAGCGGTAATATGAACATTGTTATTGTTGTATTTTTATTGTTTATAATTTAATTAATATTTAGGGTTTAAGATAATCAATAATTTAAAAAAATGGGTTTATTTTTCTAAAATTTCTTCAACTTTTGCATATAAAGTAAATGTAAGTAGATTTTGGGAGCTGTTCGATTTATTTGCTTCAAATGTTATTTAAATATGTTATAAATTAACTTGGCACTTCCTTAAACAATCAACTATTCTGTCACACATTTATTATAACTAAAATAAGCCCTACAAGTTTTCTTAAATAGTTTCAAATTTCAATTTTATTTTGTAATCACCATTTAATCATGTCTTTTTTTGATGTTTAAGAAGTTATTTTTTTAAATCTTAAAATTTTTCTAAAGAGACTGTCTGTCCCCTTGTCTGTCCAAAACATCAACATGTTTTCTTCTGACATCTCTTCCTTTGAAAATTTGTTAGAATTTTTTGTTTTTTGTAATTTTAATACAAGTTTTCTATTTGCTTCCCGCTGTTTTCTACTCAAATATCAGACAACTACCATTTAACATTATATTTTGTGCAAAATTTTGTGTGTTTTTTTCTCTCTCTCCACCTCCCTGTGACATCGTTTTTTTAGTTGATTATTATTTCCGCTTTGTTACTTCAAACTGCAACAATATTCAACATTAGTTTTGTCATCAGAGTTTTCGTTTCTTGAGAAAGAGTATAGAATACCCTGTAGACATTTACCAAGAATCTTTTGATTGTCGAACTTTCTCTTGCTCTTTTTTAGAGAATTTCTGATAAATTCTCTTTTTATAGAAAATTTTCACTAAATTCTCTTTTTGTAGAGAATTTTCTCCTTATAGAAAATTTTCGATAAATTCCTTTTTTATAGAGAATTTTCAATATATTCTCTTTTTATAGAGAATTTTCGATAAATTCTCTTTTTATAGAGAATTTTCGATAAATTCTCTTTTTGTAAAGAATTTTCGATAAATTCTCTTTTTGTAAAGAATTTTCGATAAATTCTCTTTTTATAGAGAATTTTCGATAAATTCTCTTTTTATAGAGAATTTTCGATAAATTCTCTTTTTATAGAGAATTTTCGATAAATTCTCTTTTTATAGAGAATTTTCGATAAATTCTCTTCTTATAGAGAATTTTCGATAAATTCTCTTTATATAGAGAATTTTCAATAAATTCTCTTTTTAAAAAGAATTTTTGTTAAAATCTAAATTCTAAATTCTATTTTTATACAGAATTTTCGATAAATTCTTTTTTATAGAGAATTTTCGACAAATTCTGTTTTTATAGAGAATTTTCGATAAATTCTCTTTTTATAGAGAATTTTCGATAAATTCTCTTATTATAGAGAATTTTCGATAAATTCTCTTGTTATAGAGAATTTTCGATAAATTCTCTTGTTATAGAGAATTTTCGATAAATTCTCTTGTTATAGAGAATTTTCGATAAATTCTCTTGTTATAGAGAATTTTCGATTAATTCTCTTGTTATAGAGAATTTTCGATAAATTCTCTTTTTATAGAGAATCTTTGATAAAATTTCGATATATTCTCTTCTGTTAGAGAATTTTCGACAAATTTTTTTTTTAGGGAATTTTCGATATATTCTCTTTTTACAGAGAATTTAAATAAATTCTCTTTTTATAGAGAATTTTCGATTAATTCTCTTTTGAAAAAGAATTTTTGTTAAAATCTCTTTTTACGGAGAATTTTCGATAAATTCTCTTTTTGTAGAGAATTTTCGATGATTTCTCTTTTTATAGAGAATTTTCGATGAATTCTCTTTTTATAGAGAATTTTCGATGAATTCTCTTTTTATAGAGAATTTTCGATGAATTCTCTTTTTATAGAGAATTTTCGATGAATTCTCTTTTTATAGAGAATTTTCGATAAATGCTCTTTTTATAGAGAATTTTCGATAAATGCTCTTTTTATAGAGAATTTTCGATAAATTCTCTTTTTATAGTGAATTTTCGATAAAATCTCTTTTTATAGAGAATTTTCGATAATTTTTCTTTTTATAGAGAATTTTCGATAAACTCTTTTTTGTAGGAATTTTCGATAAATTCTCTTTTTATAGAGAATTTTCGATAAATTCTCTTTTTATAGAGAATTTTCGATAAATTCTCTTTTTATAGAGAATTTTCGATAAATTCTCTTTTTATAGAGAATTTTCGATAAATTATCTATTTATAGATAATTTTCAATAAATTCTCTTTTTATAGAGAATTTTTGATAAATTCTCTTTTTATAGAAATTTTTTTGATAAGTTCACGTGTTATAGAAAAATTATGTTAAATTCTCTTTTTATGGAGTATTTCTGATTTAACTGAGAATTCTTTAGATTAACTTTTTCCCTATTGGGTTCAAAATTTTCCTATTTATTTAACTTCTAATATTATTTTAAATTAGTTCTTCAAAAAAGAAAGTTGTAAAATTTTGTCAACTGCCACTTGTAGTATTTATGCAGTAGTTTTGTCTTGTTCTACTTCTTGTTTAACAAAATGTCTTGGTGTTTGTGTGTGATTCTATGTATGTCATCTTTGTGTGTGTGTGTGCGTTTATGTTAATGTGTCATTTTATTGCCACTATTTTGGTTGCAAACTTGCAACATGGTTCATATTAAGACTTGATGTTGAATTGTATTTAATTTGTGTGTGTTCTATTTTATGTTTTCAAAAGTTTCAAAATTATTTTCATTTTACTTGTGTGTGTGTATAGCTCGTACTATCATACCTATACATACATGTATGTTTAATTTCAAAAA